AAACATGAATTAGCATATCTAACTAATATAATGGGCAATAAAATTAACTGAATTCAAGTTATATTTAAAGGGATCCTCTCTAGACTTGTCCTGAACCGAAAATCTAAAAACTGCTTCCACAGATCAGTTAAGGCTCATTTCGGCTCTCACAGAGCCCGCTGACAGAGGGACTCCTCAGCCGGCCGGTCAATAAGGAATGCACCAGGGGAGAGGGAGGGAATGTACCACAGGGGTGTTGAGGAAGGGGGTGGGGAGGTAGCGGAGGAAACACAGAGGGGGGAAACAGAGGGGTCTTTTGTGAGACAGGAAGCTGCTGAGACCAGGGCCCTCTCTCTAGGTACAGTAGTGAAGCAGAGAGAAGCCTGGGATATGAGAAAGGATGAAGACAAAGTTAACTGAAGAGGGAAGAGACTCGATGAGTGACGGACATGCAGGAGTAGAATACACCTGGGAGCTGACAGACAGAGGGCTGAGTGATGGAGCAACATGCAAGATGGAGGATATGAACGACTGCGGTGGAGAAATGGAAAAGGTTATTTAGAGCGCCAAGAAGTTCACATGCTATTTATTTTTCCCATATGCAGTGGTAGATGATTGGATGTTTGAGCCTTTCCAACACCTGCATGGGCCTGAAATTAGAGTAGAATTATAAGTTTAGCAACTGTGTTCAGAAATTTTGGCTCACTGAAAAAACAGTCAAACTCTGTATTTAACAACTTTAGAACAACTTCCAAACAGCATTATGATAAAACACATCCAAATCAGCAAGATTACACGACTAATGGTGTTAAAGTTACAGTTTGTTGATCTTGTTGGATAAACTCTGTAATTTTCTAAATTTCTAATAGTCTAATTTGACCAATAGTACCCTACAAGTTAGTGGTTATGTGACTGGAAAGTTGCCAGTTTAATCCCCGGACTCAGAGGGGGAAGGATAAATCTGCCTGCCATAACAAACACAACTAACTCAGCCCTGAGCAGGTCCGTCACCCCCAGCTGCTCCAGTTGGAGCTGCTCAGTGACCATTAAACTTGACTGCGGTTAAACTGGGCAGCTTCCATGTGTGAATGTGTCTAACTGTGTGTGAACAGGGCGTTCCTGAAAAGTCCCTGGATAAATTAACATACACATACGAGAGAGAAATATCAAAAACTAAGAAATATCTAACGTGCAGACAAAATACAGCTGTGGAAGCAAACATGAATGCATTCAAGCCAAGAACAGAGGATCAAGATGAAAGTGGAATGAGTGCAGAGGAGGATGAGAACAGAATCAGGACCCTGTGTTGTAGTGGTGAAGCTTGGCTGTCCCAGGGACATAAGCAGAAAAGATCAAATCAACAAAAACAAACAAATTATTGACTTCCTAAACACGAGGACCGAACATGCAGACCTACAGTGTTTGTACACACAGACACGGCAGTCGGTTAATGAGGCCAGGGAACAAAAAGAGTTCAAGCCGTTACGGCCATGAGTTCATTCCAGTCTGTCTGTCCTCTGCGAGCCATCAAAGAGCTTTTCATCTTACTGTACGAACAAAACATACACATGCCAAGGCGGCACAATAAATAACTGTGATGCTGCAAATGGAAAATATTTTCTTCCCATCTACGCCCCCTTTTCCTCTCCGTCTACCAGTTTCCCCTCGCTGACACAGTTCGGCCATCACAGACGAGAGTTATCATCATCATACAAAGAGTCACCAAGTACAATCAGCTACTTGATCTGGAACAATACAAATACAAGATGTGCAAATGGCGCTACATTTAAATCTGGCTCATGATTTGGGCATTTACATTTAATGTGAAATGCAAAATTCAGCATAAAACCCGAGTTAATTTTAGCTGTAGTTGCTAAGTTTTGAAATGCATTGCTGACTACATCCCAGTTGCGAGTGGCACCATGATGATGATGAAGTGTTTCTGAAACATTTCTTTCAGCACATCTCTCCGTCTGACATATTTTTATCTGCCATGTTCCCTTGATTAGAAAGCAAGACCAACCGCCCTCAAATGGAGAATTATATACTTTATGTGGGACCCATTCTCAGTTTCACCCAGATTTAGCTCTGCTCAGGAGGCGCTCTCAAGTCATTTAAGTTTTCCCTGGCTCCGATTTGGTCTGTGTATATCCAAATCCTAGCATATCATTACAGCTGAAAGAACATGAGACAGTGGCTGACCAGTAATTTAGCTTTGCTAAATGGTGTCACTCGTCATTCCAAAGTTTCTTCCCATCACAACAGTCTAGACCTTACAAAGGCAACAGGCTGGACAATGTAGTGGGATGTTTGCCTTTTATGCCTTAAAGAAGAAGATAAAGTTTATACAAAAAATGGCCAAAAATTCCACACCTGTTTTCCCCATTTACTGTCACCCAACAGACACTTTAATGCAAAAATGTTGTCTTTAAAAACACTTAAGGCTTCTAACAGTGGATGTATTGTTTTATCTGACTCCAGTCTCAAGTTTTAATTCCCTCAAAATGCATCCTCCCACTAGTTATTATCATACATAAGACTACTCTGACTTTGTAAAGCCTAAATTTTGTGTTGGTCAGAAAATCAGCATTTGTTTTGAAGCAGACAGCAGATGGTGTTGAAAGTTGTGTGCTTGGGACCGAGTTTAAATGTTATTACCAAAGATAGTTCTGAAAATTATGCAACCCTGAAGTTCAGACGGGGGATTATAGTATTTGTTTTAGTTTAGAATTACCTGAGAGAACAGAAAATAACAGTGAGCAGCAAACACACCTGACATCTCGCACTGCTGTTTGGTATTTGCTCGGTCTAGAGAGTACACAAGCTCAATTAAGCTCCGTCTTCCTCAGGTGTGTGTGTGCATGAAGGCGATGTGTGGGGCATTTCTACCACACAGGATTCACCAAAGCGCTGCTGGCAAATGACTTCAAACACAGTGCACACTCAGCGCACAGCAATAACATTCACCTGGTGAAAATTGACATTTGTGGAGCAGAAATTAGGAGGAATTTGACCCTCAGCATAAAGGTGTCTTTCTGCAGCGCTCAGGGAGGAGGGTGAGGAAGAGTTAGAGCCAGAAGGAGACTGGGGAGAGAGGAGGGCGGGAGAGACACTGAGAAAGATATCGACAGGTTAACAGACAGGATGGGATGGAGGGAGTCAGAATGAGAGAGAGAGGAGGACAGAAGCGAAGGAGAAGAGGGAAATACGAGAAGGAGAGAAAGGACTGATGAGGAGGCTGGAAAGAAAGATACAGAAATGGAAAGATGGGTACATGAGAGGGGACGGCAAGCTGGCAAGATGCTAATGGGCCTGAGAAAGATGGAGACATATGACAGAATAGAGTTCAACAAGGGCACTAAAACAAACCAGTTGTCTAAAATAAAAGAGGTGATTCTGGGTTCCGTACTGATAACATTTAACTCATCGTGTTAAAAACTATTTTCCTTAACCAAAATGGGCAACTTACTGTCTACAACTTCAAGTTGCGAGGTTATAGTCTTCTCTAAATACGATGCTGCTGACATTGCTGTAATAAGCTCCATGGTCCTGAACAGAAAACTCATTGTGACTGCACCCTCTGCTGGCAGCTGCTGGTGCTACAGGAAGAGCTTCCACAGTGGCACACTTGGCTCAGACATCTGTAACAGGGAAAGTGATGTTTAACCTCCATCTCATTTGTCTTAGCCGACTTATTCAAGTCAGGGTAACCAAACACGTTTTATAGCATATGTACCACTACTCTGCTCTGGAGTAATGGAGAATTCAGTCAAATATTTCTAAAGTGTGAACAATTCTATACTCAGATTTTGCCTGCTCAGTAAAACACAAAAATCTAAGAGGCCAAAGGACAGTGGAGGATCTATAATTAGGCCAACCACACATAAACCAAAGAGGAAAAACATAATAATACTGTAACCTCTGCTATGTCTGTTTGATTTTCTAAGACCAAGACTGGTTTGTACCAAAACTGGAAAATCATACAGGGGTATTTTAAAGGGTGGAAAATGTATTTATGAAAACGTAAATGAATGTTGAATTGCTGCTTGGCCTTTCTAAACATGAGCTTACTGAAAACAGGCTGGTGATCAATTTTTTGGGTCTAAAACCACAATTTAATAAATGCTAATGTACAATAAAAGCTGCTCAGACCCCCTGGGTGTGAATTCGTCATTACAGTCAGTAAAACAACATGCATGACCATAACAAGGATCTGGCTATTTGCTGTTACGTCTGTTAAATATTGTGGGCAGAGGTTTTACATGACATAAAAATAAATATGACAAACCTATATTTCATTAATAGAGAGCTAAACTGTGCAAGGGCTTTAGAGTCTAGCTCCTGTGGGCAAGGACGAAGAGGAGCTACTGTGGACGGACGGTCAGAGACGAGGGAGGAGACGCACTGAAGGAGGTGGGAGGAGAGGCGGAGAAATAGAGAGTGCGCTCGCGAGAGAGGAGCCCCCCCAACTCCATGGCCACACAGATGCAAACTCATACCCACATTCCTATCTTTCTTTACATTTAAACATGATACAAGAGGGGTAAAAGAGCCACAGAGTGCAGGATGAAATCTACCTATAAAAATGTTTTGATCTCAGTTCTGCTGCTTCCTTATTGGCCAAGGTGCGTAAAGTAGGCGGGGAGGGCAATACAGGACAATTTCACCACCCAGCAGCTCTAATTGAGGGAGGTGGAGTGGGTAGGTGGAGCGACAGGAGGCCACAGTTGGCGAAACTTGGACGAGGACAAGAGGTCAGTGCTCCCTCTAGAGGCTGAAAGATGGGAGTGCGGCGCCAACGGTCACCTGGGGCCCTGGGGTCCTGCTGGACTGAGGAGCAAACAGTTGGAGACGAGTACCATTTCATGTACAGTGAGCTGGTTGTTTTATGTGGAGCCTGAAGGAAATCAGTAAGCTGTAAATTTTCATTTCCAGCTTATAGTATCTTACATTATTTGTTCCAACTTTGTTCACTAATAAAATGTCACTTTTTAAAATAACAAATGAAAAAACACTTCACATACAGTATTAAAACCTTTACTCAGACATGATACAACAAACAGAAACAAGATTCAGAATTAATGACTGAAAAAAGTATTCATTTTTTTCTTCTTTCAATCCCAGAAGCACACAATAGTCAATCAGCTCCACGTGTATGATGGAAGAGGATACAAACAGGACATAAAAACAGACACAAGAGAAAGACAGAAAATTTTAAAATAAGAGATCTGATTTTACAGCTCTTGTATTTGTTTAATACTCTGTAATAAACAAAAGATGTATAATAAAGTCAGAGAAGAGGGAGACAAGAAACCAGACAAAGAAACAGTGTGTGAATTTCTTTTAAGAGTAAACTATTAAGGAAGATTCTAGATCTACTGGAAAAAAGGTTTTCTGTTTTTCTTCTCGATCAACAAATGAACACCTGATCAGAGATCTTTAAGTTCCTGCCTTTCTTTTCTTCCCTCCTTCTCTCTCTGACCTACCCTTCACAATTCCTCCAATCTTAAAAACACCAACATCATCATCCTCCTCTTTAAAAGAGAGCAATCATATTCAGTTGATCCCTCCCATCAAGTTCATTCAATGTAACCAGATCCTGCAGTGGACCCGGTCACAGAAAACACCCAACCAAATGCAACTAAAGAAGAGCAAGTCTAGGACTAGGCCTGTTAAAGCATTCCTTATTTGCATTTCACTCTTATATGCATTTCCCTGTGGACAACCTTGGAAACCAAAGCAGACATTTTCAGGCCAGGGGACCCTATAAAAAGCACCAATGCACAGCTTGAGCACCCAGAGGGGGCCACACACTGGTCTACTTCTCTCTCCAGTGACCAGCCAACCAGTCCTCCCCTCTCCACGCGAGCTGTCATTCCATTCCTATTAGGGCCCCTCTTTAGTATGCACTACACAGGCCAAGGTTAGCACACACTCTTTAGTGCGCTGCACAATAATCACAACATACATGAAAAACAACTACTGGGTACTGAGTGGCCCTGCATTTAAAACGGCCACATCCGCAAACAGCTTGGCAGTGATAAATAAACCAGTGAGGGTGGTGGTTTCAAGGCTGCATAGCACACACTGCCTCATTGATCATAACGGGATGGGCCTTGGCTCCAAGGGGCCTGTGTCAATAGGTAAAAATGCTGCTCTGATATCTAATCTATACACAATGATCAATTCTTCAGTCACAGCCTGCGATCCATTTAAAAAAAAAAAAAAAAAAAAAAAAAAAGCATTTTAATGTTTTTATTTTCAAAAAAGCGAGTCATTTCAAAATGTAACAAAGATGGCGACAACAATACTGCTACACAGTCAAAAGGTCACAGCATGCGTCTGCCTTGAGTGCACACGGTTGCAACGACAAACATTTGTGGGCAGTGCGGTGCGATACGGCGGTCTCCCATGGCGACCGCAGATCGTCGCTGTTCTGCGTCAAGTAAAGTAAGCAAAGAGGGACGCACGGCAGTGAACCCCTTCCTTGCCGCTCTCCAATGCTTGTCCCACGAAAAGCTTCACATGCTTTTCAAACAGGCCAAGAATCATAGGTTTATTTAACAAGTCCATTCCAATGCAAAGCCCAGTCATTTTCGGCCCACACGGTGAGTGAATACGCATTCGTTAAGTTTAAAGAAAAGCAGAGGAGACAGGGCAAAGTGAAGGAGGGGAGGAGGTCTCTTCAGGTCAACGAGCCAGTTAATCACTCCTCCAGCTTGGCTCCTTTTTCCTCTGTGCATCCTGTCATTATTTTGCTCAACAAATCAAGTCAACAGCGCTCAGCACATCACAGCCAAAGCTATAGTATCTGCCAGTCAAAACGCGTAGCTGCAGACAGATTCCATACACATGTGCATAAAAGCATACACATGAGGCCACACACACACACACAACTTACAACAAATACTGAAGAAACTGAAATACCCAACCACCAGCTCTCGCTAAAACCCTGATCAGCAAAGCTTAAAGTGGCTTAGCATACAGAACCTGCACTGACTGTATAGCTTTTTAAAAATGTATTTACTGTGTCTGTTTATCATCCTCTAAATGACTTAAGCAAAATGTAAGGAAATATAGAATTGGCATAGCAAAACTTGCATTGCTGTTGTATGGAGGGATGGGAATTTTAAGTAATTTCACTGCCAATTAATGTTAACTTATGTAACAGACCAAGCTAAAATTTACAAATGCCAGAAACACAATACACATAGTGTGGTAAACGTTTCCACAATATGAATATACAAGTTGCATATCTTGACTCTTTGATGAATCATCAACAAAGATTGGCATTCGCTCAGTCAGCTGTGTATGTGGCTAGCATTTTTAATGTCAACTAGTGGATGCTCCAGCGCTTGATTGATTGTGTAATCATTCCCATACCCAGCTATAAACATGATGCAGTAGCAGCAGGCTTAAACATTCAAGAGAGGAAGCTCCAAAAATTAAAATCCTGCAGAGAAAATTGCTGAGATATCAACCTAAATGAAGATGAGATTATTCGGAAAAGCACACGTCCTGAAGTCCGCCTACTCTCTGAGGGACGAGGGTTGCACTCTCAAACATAAATCCAGAGCCCAACTGTCTTAGTTGTCTGAGCTCTAATCCAGATCACAGACATTGTAGTCCGGTGGCCACATAGTTCTTTTCACACAAGTCTCAAAACTCAGACTGCTGCCATTAAATCATTTGAACAAACTCCAACTGAAGCCACTAAAGCACTGAGACCATACCGCAGCATATACAGTACGAGAACGCTAGCAGATGTTGGCGCTTGTCACCTAAATCATAAGCTTGCAACCACCTTGCTTTACTTTGCCAACACCAAAATCACGAAGCAGCGGTGCACGAGGGGCGGACTCTTCTCTGCATGTAGAAAGTTAACGGACATCTGGAGACTACTTTGTTGAGTGAGAAAAACTAAAGCAACGCCAAACTCTTAAGGTTAGACCAACTTACTGACATGTTAAACAAAACCACCTGTCTTACAGGTCATCTAACTGCCAGCCTCCAAGTCCACATCACATGGGGGGAGGGCCGAGGATCCTCTCCGAGAAGACGTTTTTGGACTATCTGCAGCGTAGGAAGCTCATTGCTCATTCTGGTTAAAATAGCTGGTGGATGCCAAAATTCAACAGCTACTTTCATTGCTTCCACCAGCCTAACTGCTTTCTAAAATACATTGGCTGTATCTGAGTACCGAGACTCATCAGCCGCGGCCAAAATGTACAAGCACTTGTCTGGTGTTCATTTTCCATAGTTGGGAGTCTGCAATAAAGGGTAAAAAAGAATAATCTATGAGGGAAGTCTACGTCTAAAACAAACCTGTTTAAAGAATGGAGAATGGCTTTCGGATTTGTCTGTTTACTTGCATACTGTGTTTGCATTGATGAAAATGTGCATGTCTTAAACTAAAAGACCATATTAGTTATTTAGCACCTGGTAGAGGACAGCGGTACCTCTTCCCTGTAGAATGAAACTGCAAAATGTATGTTTCTAATTTCTATTAAATGTGGTGACTAATAAGAACGCCAACATTTTTAAATACTTTCCTAACAAAAATGGTAACAACTCTTTATGTGTACCCCAGTATTGCTCACTTTTGAGCGTGTGTAGACGGTTTAATTCATAGTTTACCGTTTATCTCCTGATCATGTGGTAGCTGCATTTGACTTTTCACTGCAATGCTCAGATTCAGTTGCCCACAAATGTTCATCACAGTAAATATCAAGTGCCATTGTCAATGAAATCCAGCCAATTACCAATAACAACAGGAAACATTGGCAGAAGTTGGTGCAAAAGCAGCAGTGAGGTGTGGTTTGGCCATGGGCTCCATAAACAATTTCATGGCGATGTCATTTCACGGGAGGCACATCTAATGTTGATTCAACAGCAAGAAATTTGTAATTTGTTTGTCTGAGCCACATATTTCACGTTGTTTCTGAATGACTCCTGTGTTTTATTATTATTTACATCTACTGTACAAAAGTGGCAAGCACTGAGCCAATACACATTGAATAAAGTTCTCAAAGCAGCAGGTAGTAGGTGTAGGATTTCCATTATATAACACTGACTTATTTCATTATTGCATTACAGTAACATGACACGCAAGAGGTCTTTTTGTAATTCAAACACCGGAGCATTGTTTACCAATCTGTGGCCACAGCCAGTGATTTATTCACGAGCGGTGGGCTGCGAACGTTCTGCAGATAAGCCAAATTTGACACGAACTGACTAACAGGCTAAATGTTGCATTATTGCCACTGTCAGATAATTTCAGCTGGTTCTTACATTTCCCATCTCTGCTGCTGTTTTTTGTTTCAAGTAGAGAAATCATATGTCAGACATATGTTTAATTCAATAGTCTGACTGAACAGTGGGGGAAAACGCTGGCCAATTAAACACAGAACTGTTCAAAGAGCTCAGTAAAGTTTTTCTTCTCTTTTGTAAATTTTGGGAAAAAAAGAGCAACCTATCAAGAATAATAGATTTTCAGCTGGACTGGGTGTAACGACAGACTAACACACCTACTGCAAGCTTCAATTTTCAACCATTCGACTGGTGATTGGCGTTAATTCCCAAACCTGATTATCACCTGTACAGGAAGTGGCCAATTATTTATCAGGTTCTATAACAAATCATCACATCTGCTTTGATCATGAAGCAATAATGACAAAACCCTACACATAGTACCTTCAGGGTCATCTTAGGTGTCTGAGACTAGATGGTCATTTCTAGGAAACAGGAACATTTACAGTTACAACTCACAAAAGTGCATAAATGACCACCAGCGAAGGAAGGATTTAGGGGAAATAAAAGACCAACAAATATGGTTTGTCTCGCATCCCTGTGAGCCTCAAGCTGTTTAAAATGCCAACCAACTGCCAAAGTAGAGAAAAGGATAAAATCAAAACTAGGAGAGAAAAAAAATAATTCAAGTCATTCTTCTTGTCTTACAAAGCCCGCTGTGCGCATCAGGGTGGGAGGGACAAATTTTGTCTATTCAACATAGTGCTCCCACCCCCCTTTTCCTGGATTTCAATGCCTTGGAAAAAGCTCTCATTTCATGAGTACAGTACTTCAAAATAGAAACCCAAAACAAGTTTCAGCATGAATATTCAAAAAAAAAGCATAAAATCTTTCAATGTTTACAAGACTGGATTAACTCACTGGGAGGGTGTGTCTGCCTGTCCATTATAGGACACCTCCTGACCAATAACAAGTGAATTTGTTTGATGGTGACAGTTGATTGAAATGCTACGCACCTGATTTTAAGCTAAAACCATACATGAATAACTGGCTACTGATGGATATAATACACAGAAGTGCAGCTAGCAGTGTAACTAAGTAACCCAAGTAAAAACAGGGGAAGCATACCAGTTTTGCAGAAGCAGAAACCCACTGTGAGATGAAAATGTGAAAACTGAAGGCTAACTTAAAATTAAGACATTTACTGTAAATGTGTGATACAAAGGGCACATATTCCTTGAGTCGTGACCCCTATGGTGGGAAACCGAACATGGGAAAAGATGGCGAAAAAGTGTGTGTGTTAGCATATTGTTTCATTCAGAGCCACATTATCTGTGTATTAGTTATGTTGCACATCAAGTAATATTTGCAAGTTACGATCTGCATGTGCGTGTGAAGATAATTGACCGGTGACGGGGAACGTGTGTTTTGTGTGTGTGTGTGTGTGTGTGTGTGTGTGACGGCTGGTACATTAAAACCAGCAGGTGCTGCAGTTAAGTGAGGCCCAATGAGAAGAGCAAACAACCCAACATAGGGGTGACGTGTTGGTAATCCCGGTGTGCATCGGGTCCTGACAGGACCGAACCTGGCTCTTCTAGGTCAGCTGGTGAGGCGCCTCTAGCATCTCCATCAGAAAGGTGTCAATGGGTGTGTCACCAATCAGTTTAAAGAAGAACAGGTGCTCCAGGCACTTTAAACCAATGGAGCGCAGTGCTGGGAGCCGGAGGAGGAGCTTTGCAAACCTGGATGATGGCAGAAAGGATGAGAGCGAAGAAGAGTGAGAAATTACCATACATCTATCAATCGTGTAAACTGAAGACAGGAATTTAGAAGATGCAGGAAGCAATAAATAAATGTAAAAATATTCAAATTGTTGTCAGAAGAAATTCTGTAAAACGCAGAAATTTAACTTACAAGAGTAGAACTAACTGCAGCAGGTTGTGGAGTCAAGTGTGTTGTTGTAAACATCACAATATCTAATAATATCTAAAGATATCAAACAGAATAAAGCTTAATTTATGCTCGGTGTGTCACACCTCGTCCTGCCTTTATTCCTTTCTAATAAAAGTAGGAAGGCAAAATGAAATTTTTAATCTGTGTGGGCAAGTCTTGTTGGATAAGTGACAGTATTTGTTTTACTATTTTTTCTGCCAGCATTGTTTAGGAAAATACAAATACTGGCATGGCAACAATCAGTCAGTCACACTTTGTGGCAGTTATTCATGTTGCCCATGACATCAACAGCTATGCCCTGCAACAGTCTGTCAGAAATATGTCATCTTTTACTTTTTAGTATGTCTGTGTGTTATAGCCTACCTGCCCTGCTGATCGGGGTATTTCTGTTTGCAGTAAGTCTCGAGAGATGCGTACACCCTCTCTCTCAGGAGCTCCACCTCACTGGAGTTGGACAAACCCTTGGCGTCTTCAGGTGAAAACAGAGAACATTACATTATGTCTATACTGTAATGAAACACATTTTCCTGTGTTGTTGTCCCTCATTTCAAAATTCCTTCACTTTGTCCAATTTTGTTTGGAGTCTAAATGAGGTTCTCCAAACTTCCACCTGTCTGTGTACCTGGGTTGAAGAGGATGATGGCTCGAAGGCAGCCCAGCTCAGTCTTGTCCATTTGCATGTCTCTCATCTTGCTTACAAGCTCTGTCAAAACCCTGTAGAGAGGAGAGGAGAGGAGGAGAGGAGAGGAGAGGAGAGGAGAGATTTGCAGGAGGACCGGAGGACAATACCAGATTAGGGAAGACAGAAGAAGCAAGGGAAAGAATGGCAGTAGAAGAAGAAAAAAAGAGCAGGACAGCAATAAAAGAGGAAGAAAGGGAGGGAAAAAACAATAAGAACGAGAGAGAGGGAACAAACTCCATAATCACTTTGTTATTCATGGTTACTTCTCAGTGTAATGACTTTATGTCCAAACTACTTGTGCATGGCTGAACTGCTGGTTCTGCAGGGGAAAGAAAACACTAGTTAAAATGGGCCACGATGGCAAACTGCTGCCACCAAATGGTGGTAACTTCTGGCTGCGGCTGATTCTGGTTTTTGGTTTTTCCTACTTGATAATTCGATGGTCGTCTGTCTTTGTTATACTTAGAATTAGCTTTGCAAGCAAATGTGTGAAAGTGGTTGTGAAAGTGACAGCCTAATGTTGTAAAAACTTTAATAGTGTGCCGTTTAGTTTCAAACTTTCACTTTTTCCACACTGTCCTCTATTTTGTCTTGCCCTCAATAAGTGATTTCAATGCAGTAAGGTACTATGGTAGTCAGGTGTATGTTTAGGAGCTAAACATATATTTTAATTATCAAAAACCCCTTACTGTGTCCACATGCAAGTCAAGCGTTGATGCATAAATGAAGATAGGGCATAATAAGGATTTTGGGTGCTACTTTAACTGCTGTTCATTGATTCTTAAAAATGCTTCACAGATCTTAAAACCTAAGGAACTAAGACAGGTTTCCTGTTATTCAAGAACAATGCATGCAACCAGTAGAAACAAAAACTTAACATGGCAAAGGCTTATCAACTTATTCTTCCAACTTACAAACATAGCAATTCATTTTTAATCAAAGGAATTATCATGCTTCATTTGATATGTAGTGAAATAATACATGTAATGTAAGCTTGGAGGCTTGGTGTGGGCCATATGTGCATCCTAAAAGTACTTCTGCTTCTCTGACAGGAGTATGACTTGCATGAAAGAGAAGAGGACTCCGCAGACCAGGGGGTGGGGGGAAGGAAGTGATGGCCATTAGGGTTTATTTGCTATTCCATCATCAGAAATAAACATCTACTTTTAATGACATGAGCAGAATAGGTTGCATTGCCAAATCAACACAATGAGTAAATGTTTTATTCATTCATATAGTTGAGGAAGTGGAAGAAAGTAGAAGTGATTTTTGGTACGCACCAAAGTGTATATCATTAATATTAGAAAATGGGCACTGCCCACCACAAAGGGAGTATCACTGAAGAGGGCCAACACCACCTCAGAAAGGTGAAACAGTAAATTAAATCATCAACTGCACTGGAGTAATACAGTATTTTGTCATGGCAAGGCTCAACGAGTAAGAGGAGGCATTGGCAATGGGCAAAAGACGCCATGTATTCTGCAGGCGATTGGAAGAGGCTTTTAGCAGTCAAAGCCACAAACCGAATAAGGTGCTGGATTCAAATTATAAATGCAGTGCTGGTCTTTGTCATCATCTATAACCACACCCTCACAGTTCACTGAGTGAACGGGTGAAACAATTCTACATTTTAAACAAAAGCTGGCTTTTGCAAAGCTGTGCAAAACCCTGAAAGCATCAACCTCTACACTTTGGTTCTGTGATTGTTTCAATGGTGACTCTCAAGAGGAGGGGTTTAAGAAGTGTTTGTGTAGTGGCGTAATTACCTGTCAAATATGGCCCCAACCTCGGCATTGTGCGCCCTGTGTATTCAATCACAATGTGTTATTACAATGTCATTACACAGTTTCATTGTTATTACAGAATTCTGTCTGTTTCTGAGCCCTTCAGCTGTACAGTCAGTGCTTACATGTGATTTCACATGGTGAAAATCTGTAGTGTTACAAACTGAACTGTTGTATAATAGTTTGAATGGTGACTGTCCAATTGATCACTTTATGGTCGTCTTATTTAAGGCACCACTATATTCATGTATTAAATATGCAGAAAGGAGGTTATGATAAATCTTATGAGGCAAATGCATAAAAGCAGAAAACCATTAGTACATGTGAAATTGTTTATAAGTGAGAAACTACAAACCCTCAACTTTTAATAGGTGCGCCTGATTAAAAGTTAATGCATCATGAAAAGTAACTTCAAGTCCAACTGAAATTAAATAGCATTTTTTGTCTGCTTCTGCATACATATGTGCTCTGTGAATCACTTGTTCTGTGTTCCAAAAAGCCATCAAATCTTGCATAAAGCGGCATAGTCAGCGTTCGATCATAGGCAGAGCAGGCGGTGACACTGAGCCAGGCAGCAGCTACACAACACAAGAGCCAGAGACTCTGTACAACATCCTGCTAAAGACACCTCCTTATCTAACTTACAAACATGAACTCACATCTTGTCCTGCACCTTAGCTTGTTGAATGAGCCACCGTACAATAGTGCTGCACCTAACCATTACAATTCCAGTGTTTCCCATATGTTCATTTATTTGTGGCGGCCCGCAACAATATCAACACTGACCGCCACATATTGATTATCGTTTTTTTTTTATTTTTAACTAGGCCTATTTTAAATCGTATTTGCATGCAGGGCGCCGTACCACATCCGCGCAGCACATCCTCTCGCTCGCTCTCAACGCTGTCAATGTCGGAAACCCAGCTTTAAAAAAAGTTATCAGCAAGCATGTAAGGAGCTTAGCTAATAAGGAGAGCTAAGTTAATGTTAGAATGTAGCTGGGCTTTCGAGGCTAGCACGCTGTATATAGCTGGTAGTCAATATTGCTGCATGCGAGGGTCTCCATCTGAAATACTCCCAAACTGGTCATAGGCGAGGTTTATAATCTGCAGCTTGATCTCTCTGGAAATCCCCTCTTACTCTGGGTGCAGCACATCATTGTCACGTGCTGACACACGTTATGCAAATCGACGAATTTCCATACTTGATAATGTCAGTGAGTCGGCCCACCACTACAGAACATTCCCCCGGGCTAAGTTCACTGCTAATGTCAGTTTCCAGACTAGATAACCAATCAGCTGCTAAGCTTGAGCTCATTAAACAGCAGGCAAACGTACCCACAAACACCGACACGCCCCTCTAGTCGGCTGAGACCAAAAGGAGCATTTCGCCAAAACCTCTTTTCTTCCTTTTCATAATAAATAAAAAGTAATAACAATTATTTTAAAAAAAAACATAAAAAGGGACAACTAAATGATTTCAGTTGGACTTTATGGAATTTTCACTTAACTGAGCCTTGTGTGTGAAATATTTCTGAGGTGCAAAATACAACATTTAAGAAAACAAATTAACAACACACAAAACAAAACAAAACTGAAATCAACAAAACAGAAAAGAGAACACATCCAAAGAGGTGGGTGCCTATCTTGTCACTGACTGGATGACCACTATGTCGCTCAAATAAAAAGAACATGTACATAAAGGGGCAACATGTGCTCGGCCTTTTCTGTGTGCACCTGTTACAGGTTGTCACACTTTCTTTGCTCTTGGATTTGTGGGTATTTGAGCGGACAAGACCACAACCTGCTTAGAATGAAAAAAAACAGTAGGTACCCACCATTTATAGTTTGTTGAATTTGTTGAAGTGTTATGTTTTTTTTCTATGGGTTTTCTACAAAAACTGCTGTATTATTATTTTTTACTTTGTTCAGTTGTTTTGTTAAAGGTTGTTGTGTTTTGCACTTCAGGGCCTGCCTAGTAACGAGTCTACCTCAAGTAATGCATTACAGAGAAATACCATTCTGATATTCTATTATTGAAAACCTCCTTGATAAAATATGTTTCAGTTGTTTCAAACAGATGCTGATGCGAAGCTGAAAAGCTTGCTGCTGGAAGAGAGCAGTGGTATTACAAAATTAATAAGTATCAGAAGAAAATCATTGAGCCATTTGCCATGAGCCCTGTTAGCTTGCTCTAAATCTGAGTGGATTTTGAGGCAGAATTAACCCTTTATAACAATGTAATTACTGTGTAATTAACAGTGAATTGACACGTTGTGATGTAGTTGGGGTTTTACATAGAAGTCATCGAGATTTGAGTCGTTTCATTTTTTCAAGCGATAATGTAATGACAGAAAAAAAAAGTGTGAAATGCACTGAAAATTTATTAAAACCTGCTGAAATCCTGGATAATGCAATAGCATCCCATGACCCAGCATCTATTGCAGCATAAGACGTGTCACATCTTAATCAAATAATTAACAACCGTTAACTCCTACCGATATATATATTTTAATTCCACTTTTGAATTAACAACTGATGAATGATGCAGTAATGCAGAGAGGCCATGGCTCTAACTATGTTTTTATTTTGTTTTCCAGTGATCATGGAATAAGTATTACGGGATCTCAAACTAACTTTTTGGATAAAAAACTATAGTGTGCCCATACAGTAAATTTATTTTACAATGTTGTGACCTTAGATTAGATAATAAGACTGGCAGGGATTGCCGTATGCCTACTAATTACAGATGATTATAAGACTCATGTGCATGTGGATCCAATGATCATGAAAAATCTGGTTTCTGTGAAGATTAGATCCAAAAATTATTATTCTGTAGTCCGCACAGGAGAAATTTTAACACCGAAATATACACCCATGGCCTCTTTAACATTCTGCACACTCGTGGGATGTAGACTATTACATTAACGTATTATAGAGTATTTTAAGGGACATTCCTATTATACAATCACATGTTGGTACTGTATATTCGGCAGCCATTATCAAGTTATCAAATGCTGCTATAGGTGCTATGCCACGGAGTGTGTATGCGTGTATGTGCACATGCACGTCTATGGGTAAGCATTAGTCACCAGCCTCCACGGCATGCGCTGTCACCCTACAGGCAGTGCTAAAGAAGCAAAGTCTCAGCCAATCACAGCCAATGCAGAACACAGCCGCTGTACCCAACCAAAGATGAAGACACAGTATCCTAATTTCTTATTGCAGTCACTAATCCAGCTAAACCTGCATAAAATGTTTATGGATGTGGATTTACCAGGTGAGTTTAAGAGGGGATTGTGGATTTTACTGGGCTTATCGGGGTTGAGTAGGAGGTTACAATAGTGTGTAGAACCGGCTCTATTCTAAGCAGGGATCCTACACAGTTTGGATTTAAAGGTGGAATAGGAAGGCCTCTGAAAAGGCACTTAAATCACATATTGCTAAAACTCTCCAGAGAACCCAAGATTTTTTACGATGGCATGTCCTCTTCAGTTGGGTCGCCCAGCCAAACTTCTGAATACTGGGGAAATCACTAATATGATATGTTTGCCAGAGTGATGCTGTTTGTGCACTTATGCATCTGTGTATTACCTGTCAAAGATGGCTCCAACACCTGCACTGTGAGCACTGTTCCTGTGGACATGCAGGCCAGTGGCCAGTAAAATCCCGTCCTTCACCGAGATGGAGCGATGGGAGAACGATGCAATCAGGAGTTCATTCCAGCCTGTTGAAGAGTTGTGTCCCAATAGTTCTAGTGAATCGAAATATCTAAATATTCTACTATTGAGTTGTTTTTTTATTTAATACCTGATATGACTGAATGGTCCTGGTCCTAATTAAATATCACATCTCTCAATAAACACCTGCTGTCATTAGTTTGTAATAATTGACTTAAGATCAATCAGCTGAGCCTGGAAATAAACACATAACTCCAGGGAACACATTTATTCATCAAACAGCTCTGAAACATTTATGAGAGTTTACAAATGATTCAATCATTCTTCAAGGTACTTCCTGAAAATATCAATTACAATGCTTTTCAAAATCAACAGCCCTGTAAAAAAAGTCATGCAAGATTATTATTTTTTTTATTATTTTTCTTTGTTGGTGGTGTAAAAGATTGGATTTGCATTATAATAACAGTGTCTAACAGTGTATAGTGTCCAGTGTGTAATGTTTTGTGTACTTCCATTCACATTCATGAGGAACACCAAGTGGACACCAGAGTTGTATGATGTTACCGTAGAATATGATGGAGCTTAGCTTACCTGCACGTAGCAGGATGACCTGGTCATCCAGGGGCAGCTCAGAGAAGTGAGGGATCCTCTTGGCCCACTCCACCAGGGTGAAGAGCTGCTTGTCAGCTGCCTGACAGATGTTGGTGACAGGGTCGTTGGGCTGAAGAAAACAGCAGATTTAGAGGAATATTGACAATTATTTCATCAAATAACTTTACTAAGACACCCCATACTTTTCATACAAACAGCCTGTGAAGATTGTTAAACTAAACCTGCAGCCTTTGAACACAGATTGTGGTTAATATCCACCATCCAGACTACTCACAGAGCTGCCGCCTGAGCTTCCATCTGCATGAAGCTCTGTCTTCTGCTCTACAGCCACCTCCGCTTCCAAAATCTTTTCCACTGGCATCTCCTCGTTAACAGCACTAGTCGACTCCACCTCGCCATCTCGTTCCTTGTTCCTCTGCCGCTCCTCTTGGACAGCTGCAGGAAGGGGTATTGGGGAGGACAGGAGGGAACACAGAAGAAAACAATGAAGGACCAGAAAGGGGAGAAGGGAGAAAGAGTAGGAACAGAAGAAAGGAGAAAATATGGGTGCGAAGGGTGGATGAAAGGAGGTCAACGTGAAAGTGCAGAGAAGAAAGAAAAGTGCAAGAGCAAAGGAATGGATAAGGACAGAGAAGCAAAGTGTTTGGGCAGGCAGGCAATAATACAGGACATAAGACATAATAAAAGACAACAAGAAAAACACAGCAAAAGCAAGATAGTAGAAAAAGAAATGATAGTGGGATGTGAAGGAACGGCTCACAACATAATGGGTAGAGTGAGAAAAGTAGAATAGGAGACAATGAAGAGAAGAAATAAGGGAGAAAGATTGGTGTGGGAAGAGGTCAGCATACAAAAAGAAAGAAGCAAAAAAATATATAGGGAAAGAGACACAGCTATGTACAATTTATGATCATTTCAAAGTCTCTCATTCTGTCTTTCATACTTCTTTCAGGACCATAACTATGGCAGAAATGGACCATATACGACATAATAAACAACAGAAATAATTAGCATTATTATTAGCTAATTGCTTTAAAAGTGACAATAAATTACAATAAGATCTAATGCATTTTGTCCAGATTTAACTTTTCATTGTCTGCAATTCATTTTTATTTTCAGAACAAATCTGCAGTAACTAGATTCCTCTTAATTCCTCACTAAGATTAAGGAAATGACGTTTCGTGGTTTCATGAGGTTCAAGAAATCAGGTTACTGCAGAAAGGTGACAGCAATCAGGTTCAATAAAGTGCATGTAAATCCAACAAATACAACTCCATGCAATCACACTGCATTTTCCCTTTTTCCTGAGATTCTTAAAGACGCATTCATGTAATAAAATAATGATGGAGCATTTTATCTACTCCAGCTTAACTGTGTTTTTAATACAACAAGGCTACAAAAGTACTCAAATTTTAAAGGGACCAAAGATAATTAATCACAGACTATAAATTGTCTACCACCCACAGGCATCAGCAGACACAGACTGTGATTATGTGATCTGTTTACCGAATGCGGACGTGAACATCCTAAAACTGCCAAGCTGATAGTTGCGTCACACAACAGAGGATGTCACTGTCCAAATGTGTACAAACAGCACTGTCTTAACCAACAGTCTCACCAAACTGACACTTTCCAAAAAGGTTTGTAAATTAATTTGTTATGTGTAATCTTGCAGCTAACAAATTTGAGCAATAGCAGCAATTCTAAGTGATAACTTTAGTCTAGTTTTGTTTTGTATGATTAATTATTATGATGATCAAATACTCTATTTTCTGGGGTTGTGCTGCAAGAAAAGCTTGTATAATTTGTTTCAACAAAGCATTTGTCGAGGAACAACGATGATTTTGTATTATTTTGATGATGAATTACAGATTAATCATTAACATACAGATTAAGATTGAATCAATCTGCATTGGTCATGGTGTCTGTATTTGAGGTGCTCCAGTGAACATGAATTTTGCCACTTTAGAAACCAAGATAGACTTGAAAAATCTGGGTGGAAAATTAAATTAACATCTATCCTTCCTCTACTACAAGCATCAAGTGTTCCTTAACAGAAGTGGAAATGCTCTGTGCATGGCTGCTGTGACCTTACTGGGCAGCACTCAGGTGGGAATAAACAATAAGTAACTTTACAGTAAAGTAGGGCGATGATTAAAAGGAGTGTGCATACTCAGCAAACTTTCCATGGATCTATAAAGGTTAAAATAACATCGGGAAGTGATTCAAGGCTGGCACTGGTCCGCTTCTGAGCACTGGCAACAAACTATGGAAAAACATTTTAAACTAGCTCCTTCTCATAGATATGCAATGTAATATATCTGCGTCTCGCTCACTCATACAGACACAGTCACACACCCCTCCCTCCCGCTTCTCCTTACATCTGTCGTTCATCTTGGCCACTACAGAAGGAGGGAGGGGGGAGAGAGAGAACGAGAGGAAACAAAAAGAGGAAGAGAGGGGGAAAGGGGGTTAGTGTTTACAAGGCTTACCCACCCCCATCTCCCTCTCTATCACTCTGTACTCGTTCTTTCCATCCCCTATTGTACAAATATAACTGAAGCTCTCTTAATTAAAATGCAATGGAAAAATATATAACACTTATATTATCATTTACTTACGCACTTCCTGCCATTTATAGATTAGGTATAAGATCTAATTTAAGGTTATGAGTGAAAGTAAAGATTTAGGCTCAGGATTTACAGATTGATGCAGATTACTTGACTTTAATGTTCCTTTCACCTGCATTTTAATATTCAATGACTAACAACAGTGACCACACATCTCAGCAACTTATCAAACATAAACTGAGTTATGATTGAACTACGATCAAAGCTGCATCATAATGTGCTGGGAGAGTTTAGTCCTAATCTAATTTGACAAAGCGCAATACGCAGTACAATTATCTTACCTATCTGTTAAACCCTAAAACAACAGATAATCTCAGACTGACTGGCTTAAAAAGGATCTAATGTTATTTTCAGTGTTAAGACACCAGTACTTAGCAGCACACAGATCAGTAGTACTTTGTAAATGTGTCTATTTTCTTTTTAAACGACTAAAAGAAGCTACATCACTGTAACTAATATAATAACGATACACTATGAAATTATGTGTTGTAAAGTCAGGCAATTCCATGATACTGATAGGAATTAAAGTTTGATGATTAATTTGAAACATATTGGGAATCTGGTTAAAGTGTTACAGTTTAATAGCTGCTAATGAGATCAAACAGTGGAGTTTGTACTTTTACACTGGCACAAATGATGGGATGTATTTACCAGTGACTGATGGTCATCTCAAGACAAACACCTGGTAAATGACATAGTTACACAATACTTCCAGACTACGAGTTGACAAAGACTGCCTAAACAAACTATTACACTGCACCTATGAAAAGTATTTAACCTAGGGCTGCACGATTTGGAGAAAAAGTCATTGTGATTATAGTGCGATTCGATTATAATATATCGTACTATGAGTTTACTTTACTTTATTATCAAGGAATGCGCGAAATACTGACATTTTGAAAAGTGTATTTCTCAACTTGAACAAAGTTCTACAACAAACAATATTTATAACAATAACTAATAAAGCAGATGTAAAACAGAACAAGGGGAGTGTGTTGCTCTACAAAGGAGGAGGCTAGAAGCAGCAAGTCTTGGCACACGGGCACCGGCTCAATCTGTCTAATGCAGAATATCTATCCACAACCTGGAGCAGGAACTGTACATGAGCGTATTAAATAGAGTATAAAGTTAACAGTATACTGTTTGTATAACAATAATATATTACATTCATTATAATTTCTATTTCTACTTTACCACTAGTCAAATATTAAAATCAGTTACAGCTGTTTCATTTCTGTGGGTTGTTTTTATTCATTAAATCCTTGTGCAAGCAAAAGGCTCTACATCGGTCTCTAATTCGTTAATGCTAAGTACTAACTTGTCAATGATCATATTGTTCAACATTTAATAATTTGCTGTAGCATGTCAAACTTTTTTTAATGTCCTGCCCCATCCAGGCTGTGATTGGTCGTTGACGAAAAGTGACCAATACAGCAAACGTTAATTGGCCAGTGAGCCAAACCCAAACCTTCCTTATCTTGTCCCTGTTTTCTTCTGTCTTACTGCTTCTGCTGCTATCGACGTCGCTCTGCACCGGCATGTCTCTTGTTGCGTCCAAATATGTTTTAAACGATTAGCGGCGGGGCGGAGCGTTTAGGGGCACATGCGAGAGCCCGGTGCGGGCGGAGATAATGAGCAAACTGCAGCCCACACAGAGAAGAAAGCGTCACACACACCTTTTCTGTTTTATTAAATCGCACACTTTTTGCGGTTATGTAATCGCACATGACGACATCAAGATTGCGATTAGATTAATTGTGCAGCCCTAATTTCACCCCCTTGAATTATTTCATTTTTTATTGTTTTCCAACAGTGAATCACTCAGGATATAAAGACGATTTTTGGTACAGATCAACAGTGAAAAGACTCTAAAAGAGTCATAGTGAAAGCATGAAAAAGAAAACGCAAAGGGGCAGTGAATACCTTTTAGTTTCTAAACACGTAATTGTACACACAATACACATACAAAGTATTATAAAACACTGAAGGGCTGCGAAAGGTAGTTGCGTCCTTCAGTTTTGGGCAAAAGAAGGCTGTCATTTCTCAGACGCATGTGCAAAGGCGTTTGGAAAGGTAGACCTTGATGACATGTCGAGCATTGAAATGTTGAGTTTAAATGAGGCAGCCCTTGAGTTGGGAAACAGGCAGTGTGTTTGTGGGAGCGAGTCAGCCCAAAGTGAAGGTGGCAAAACTGTAGATTTTCTTTTGATAAAATATTAGCGTTCTCTTTATTGGTGGCATCAGTCCCTGACGTTAAAAATGCCACTGTTAAATATGTGATCACTCAACATCATTACTGAAGTGTTACAGGAGAAGGGGCATAACATAAGTTTTTTCCTCCAACTACAGTTGGATGGTCATTAAGCCAGATTTGGAGTGGATTTCCCATAATATTTGTTGCTGCAGGGCTAAATTAAAAGTGAATCTGTCTATCCCCCAAAAAAAGGCACTACAGCTTTTCTGATACCAAATGATCAACCGATTTTATGAAATCATAAATCTTTGTAAGAACTTGAGGTCATCTTGAAGTAATTTATCAACTAAAATGTTTAAATTTAAAACCAAAATGAAACAATCATTTATGTGAAATGCACCACTTTGTGCATTTAAACAAAAAATTGTGTGTGTGAAAAGCTGAAATGGCTTCATTGTAAGGGGTCATGAGCAGAAGGGGTTGAAAACCAGTCATCACATTCAGTTTATGCTGAAGTGCCCCCGCTAGCTCACCTTCTCTCTTCATGCCCATGGCCAGGCACTTCTGGTAGCGGCAGTACTGACAGCGGTTCCTCTGTCGCTTATCCACCATACAGTCTTTATTATCCCGACAGGTGTAGGTAAGGTCTTTGCGCACTGTACGCTTGAAGAAGCCTTTACAGCCCTCACAGCTGTAGACACCATAGTGCTTACCTGGAGGATGTGGGAAGGAGGAAAGAAAAGAGCCAAAGATGTAAGAAAAGAGGGATGACAACTTGTTTCAAGGCAGAAATTTTAAAGGATGTCAGGCATGTTTGGCCCTAATTCAAAGGCAAGGCACAGATAACAGGGGTTGTATTTAAGGTGTCTAGTCACCAGAGGATCTGTCTCCGCAGATGGAACAAAGGCGTTTCTGGGAAAGCATCGGCCCTGGGCTGTGGGACGACAGCTGCTTCAAGCCCAATGGAGGTTTCACATCATCGGAGCTGCTCACTGCATGCAGCCCTGACATGGACACTGTTGAGTTGATCTGAAACAACGAAAGAGGAGATGGTGAAAACAATGTTGTTGGTTTTTTAAAGAGGATTTTCATGATTCTACTTCTGTAAGAATGTAAAGAATATGGTTAACACTGTCGCCAAGACCACACAGAAAACAAGGTTGCAGTGAGAGTCACTTGTCTTATATCACTCTCTGACAAACTGGTTTGAACAGAGAAGAGAAGATAAGGTCTGAAAAACAAAACTCAAAGCATCTGGCATGTAAACATCAACCAGAGAAAAGGGAGTGGGTTGCAAAACCAAAGTAAGAAAGATCTGTAGCTAAAGATTTATGGCCTCATAGACATAGAATGACAGCCATTATATCAACACTTCTGTGATGAATGACAACATACTGAACTCGTGACAGCAATATTTTTTTATTTAAATATGTTTATAAAGATAAACATAAAAAGTGTGATTTGTTTTATGGTATTGTAGTAGTGTTTTCTCCCAGAGTAGGAACTGGATTTACTGTCACTTTGGTTGTAGCAGGCAACGATGAGACAATCTTAGAAACTGTAGCCCAAAAATAGCCCAAACTTAAATGTGTGATAACTTTGTATTCATAGTTTACCAAAATAACAGATACCTTTTAGGGGGTTCGTTTCTATTTTCTACTGTATTTTCATTTTTACATGTGTAGCTGCACAAGATGAGTATGGCACCAACACTAGTTTGCCATTAATTTCCTGGTCTAGGAAAAGAGGTTCAACGATGATACATTGGTCTCATGTAACTTTAAGGTGTTTCGGATAAAGTTAAATAAATATTGGGCCTGAGAATGATTTCTATACTTTCCTTAGAGCACAGCAGTTTTTTGGTAGTAAACAACATCAAGACAGTCATTTTAAATTAAATATAGAACTGGGGTGTTGCTCCTCTTCAAGAGTTTATTTTATTTCTTAACTGGTGCACTATTTAAATATATTCCAGCAGCAGCATATTACAATGCACCTGTCATGTTGGAAAAAATGCAATGTTCAGACACACAGGAAATTGCATATTTTTTACAATAATCACAAGTATATTAAAATGCTCTAAATGTACATACACATGTGCATAAACTAGGGATGCACCAAAATGAAAATTCTTGGCTGAAGCCGAATATGATTGTTCACATTTTTTAATATTTATTTTACCATTGCACAAATTAAATAGTCAAAATGTGAGACTATGGTAGGTGGGTCCGAGGACTGAAAGAGTCCGGTTAAGTAAATTACATGTATCCATTTACTACTAGACACCTTATTTTGAAAATTGGACTTTGTCGCATTTGTATCCTCGAGCTAAATTCATCAAGTCCGACCCAGTTTGATAAATAATGTTATATGTGGTTCTCGTACCGCGTAACATGAACACTTCATAGCCTCTCTTCAGGTAGGACTCTCGTACTGTAATAAGAGTTACTTATTTTTGTAAAGAGAGAAACTGACAGGATAAAGTCACTAACCTGCCTGTCAGCTCGCACTGGTTCAGTTTCAGTTACTATAAAGGCTTAAATACGTGTGCACTCCAAATGTAGGTGCGGCTAGCTTAATCGTCTTCTCAGAAGCAAGTGACAGAAACACTCAAAGTGGCTCAGACCGTTTGTTGCCTTTTCTAAGAAGTCAGCCACAGATGGGGTGGATGTGCTAGGAGACAATTCAGCAGAACAGTGTCCGCAAACGGCGATTTAAACACTTTAAAATTCTTCCATACTTCAGTAAAATTTATTCGGTCTCTTGACGTATTAGACCAAATAATTTCAGTTGCAGAACATTCGGTGCATCCCTAGCATAAACAGAATAATTGTGCTATTATAAATATATATATACACACATAAAATAATATGCCTGAAGTACATCAGTCCTCCCTTACCTGTGGGCTGCTAATGGGGCCGTAGCCCACTGATGGCGTGCCAGGTAAGCAGGGCGAGCCCAGCGAAGAGCTGATGACGGAAAATGGGGAGCCGATGCTACTGATGGGGCTGTTGACCCCGGTGGAGGTGATGGGAGGTAGGGAGGTCATGGAAGCTGCGGCTGAGGGAACCAGCGAAGGCGAGCGTTGCCCCGATGGAGGGGAGGACACAGACGAACTGTCTGGGCTGCGGGAATCTGATCAGAGAGCGAGAAAGGAGGAGAATATGAAAATAACTAAAGTATTCATAAATAAAAATAAATATAGTACAAAAAATCATCATGCTATTATTTACTGACACTTGAACTGTCGTGCTATCCTCATTCTAAGCTCTGAAGTAATGAGACAATATGTTGCTAAACACACGTCAGTTTAACATCCTCATTGCTCAACTTAAACCTTACATTGTGCAATGAGGATGTTTAGCACACTGTTTTGCTGTTAACACCCCAGAGTTCAGTGCACTGGACAAACAACGGCAAGATTTTTCAGAATTTAGCATCAGTTTTCACACAGCACCTGTAGTTTACCTGAGACATGCATTTGCTCGATGCGACTGGTGTGCAATCAAGAGGAAGAAACATTTTAGTTTTCTAGAATAATTTTATCGCTCTGTGATCTGAATCTGGTGGAGTTTTGGTCCTTTTTTGATCTATTTTTTTTTTTTATTATGATTTATTGTAACATCAATAACTGACTAACTTCCTGTTGGTAAATAATCTGATTTGTACCAGGTTAACCATTAGTTAGATTTTTCCACAGTGCTGTGAAATAATGACAAACCTTGCAATGGAACAGATAATGTTGATTTTACCAATCCTCCATTATGCCTTTTTTTACAAGTTGTTTTGTTTTTATTTTATTTTTTGTTTATGCTGTGGTTTCAATTTACTTGGCACTTTCTTCTGCAGCTGGCTGTATGTGCTGCATTTTCACTGCTTCGGGCTGTGTACTTGGTTGTCGTCTGATCTAATCTATTTTTCTTGCCTCAAACACACTGGAAAGAAATCAGCCAATCATATGCTCACACGAATCTTACTGTGGCCCATGGAGGCCACTGCTCGCACTACCACATGAATACTTACCAACAAAACGCACAGAATCATGTTTTTAAATACTGAGGACACTTCTTTTCTCCTCATTTTTTTCCTCACGTCTCCACCTTTGTCACATATTTTAACAAGCACTTTGAATAATCACTTGTAAGAGAAACTGACCTCAGTGCGCATGTGGAGAGTTGAGTACGGCACCAACACTAGTTTGCCATTACTTTCCTGGTGTTAGAATAGAGATTCAATGCTTACTGGTGTAACATAGCTCTCATGTTACTGTAAGGTGTTTTTTTCTTTCCTTTTTTGCTAAATGTAAATAAACGCCGCGCCCAACAGTCAACTCTATACTTTCGTTAGAGCATAGCATCAAGATAGTCATTTCAAATAAAATATAGAATTGGGATTGCACCATTTAAATCTATTCCAGTACAAGCTGTATATAAAAGTATACCAGTCATGTTGAAACACTACAAAGTTCAGACACATAGGAAACCGATTTGGACGAATGACCATGACTTAGTTCAAATGATTGTATGCTCTAGAAGACCTGGGTTATAGGTCAACTGAGCCAGCTGTAACACGTGTGTTTAACAAAGGCTTTAATATTATATAATTTATACAAGTGGGGTAAGTCTTTCCTTAATCATAACCTATATATTTCATAGGCCTGAATTTACAATTATAATTGTTATAACAAAAGGTGAAAGTATAATTTGTAAAACTGTAGCTAAAATCAACATTTATTTCCAGATGCAACGTTTTTGCGAGACATTCATGTTGTTGCATGGCTGATATAACAAAATCTGTGCTGATATCTCCTCACCTCTACTGTCTCCCATGATGGTGGTGGTCTTGGGCACAGGCTGGCTGGCTGGCAGCGACACACCGACGCGCTTCCGTCTCCAACAGCCGGCTATCAAACTCTAGACCGCGGACTGAGGCCCGGGCCGGAGTCGTTTGGGGAAACCAAAAACGGGTCTGAAATTCCAGCACAAAAAAAGAGCTCAGCGTTAAGATAACGCTGTGACACAGAGGTTTCCCTTTTCATCAGAAACATGTAGAACAAAACGTACATCACTCAGCCCATTACACGGTTATAAACTGCCTGCATGCACGTCAACAGAAATATTTAATGCATTTTTTGGCATTTAATGTAACGTTAAAGTTACAGCAGGACTGAGCCAGCTGCTCAGCTGATGCCAGGGGCTGTCTAGTCTTGATGCAGTATACATGACACAGACAGAAGGTTATGTAACACATAAGAAACAGTATAACGATACCAAACACTGACTATATTATTCTTGGTACAACGCAGTAAATAAAACGTCCTGTTCCCAAATATACATGGAGCCCAGACTGATGGCAACAAACTGTTCTCGCGAGCTAACGTTAGCCAACGCATAGCTCGTCAACTAGTTAGCATTTCAAATGTCTGTGCCATCCGTGAAAGTGGCTTGTGTTAGCTACGCTTCTCCAGTACAAATTAAGTTGCTATAACACATATCAGCACGTTAAAAGCAAACAGGTCTGTGGCGTTACATTTTGTTGAAATTATGCTACGTCTGGTGTGCGCTGGCAACAGCTAACTACATTTAGCCACCTAACCTAGCTAGCATGCTAGTTAGCCTGAATGCATCGCAGGAGAGAACAAGAACAAGCCCGTTTAGCTCTGGCTGTCTCAGCTCTATCGTATCCTTCTAGACTAGTCCAGCTAAATATTTTACAAGTAAATTTAGTGGAAATAAATCCGGATTACTGACGGTTTAGCGGCGCAGCTTCTTCGCATGAAAAGATGTGTCGACTAGGCCCCGTGTGTGTCTGTCTCTCCCCCCACTTTGCCTCGTAGTCAACCCTCCCTCCCCCTGCAAGGATGAAAACATGATGATGGTGGATGATTCGCCTTAGTGCTCTCTGTTACAGTAAAGCACGGGCTCAGAATCACTGCAGAAAACAATGCAGGCCGACTGATAAGACAGTAGAAGAAGGGCTGTGCGGTCATGTTGAGCCTCACATGTCCCTGAGTGAGGGAGGCAGATCCAGAACAAGAGGTCAAGAGGTCAAGACAAGTTCAGCTCAGTATGTCAGCTGCTGAAAAGGTTATTAGCGGGCATTGGAGGACCTGCTGAGTTGTTAAAAAAAAAATCAGTGTTATCCTGTCATCTTTTTAAAATCAATTACACAAATGGTTTCTATGCTTGGAGGAGGCAGACATGCAGGAGAGACATGCAGGTCAGTTGTGACATATCCAATTTCTCCAATTTGGAGCAAGTTACAAATCACCTGATTCACTCCACACATGCTTAGTTTAGACCAGACCTTATTCCACATGGGAAAAAGTAGCACAACCAATCATAGAAGGAAAAAAGTAGAACATTTGTTTCATTCATTTATTTTTGTTAGAGCATCGCCTACTTTGTAGTTGAAGTCATCAAACTTAAATCATGTTTATTGTGTGTATATGTAGATATTTTTCATGCGCATTGTTAGTGCTAATGTTTTAGCTGTACACTGTAAGGTAAGCTGTTCATGGCTACAAGAGTCTGGGTTAGTTGTATCAAGACCTGTGTTTGAATTTCAGTATGTGTCTGACACACACAGTAATGTTTTAATGGTTTTATTATTATGTTCAAATGTTAGTGTCAGACCTGTAGGCTTCTCTGGGGGCCCATGAGGCCTGCATTCCAGCAGTGGCATGTGTCTGTCACTGCTGTGATGGTGCAAGACAAACAATCACACACACACACACTAATATTCAGTTGGTGCACAGTTGCACATTTTTATTTTATTGTAATAATTGTATTATTATGTTCACTGCTATGTCACAACTATTACTGATAGTCATTGGTGGATTGGCCATCTGGCATGTATATAAATATATATAGTATATAAACAATGAACAACAACATACAATAATTACAAAAATGAACTGTTTCTGTAAATTGTAAACAAGAATAAAATTCTGCATGGTTGCAGAGTGCTGGACTAAATAATATACTATTAATGTAATAGATTACTTTAGATAGCCTACATGAAGTTGGTGGTTATACATGTCTATACTGCATGCCTCGATTTTGATGATGATGTTAAAAAAACACTGTGTAATCTGTGGGTATTATGGATGTTGTAGGGTTATTGCACATGGATTGTTTTCTGGTGCTATATGACTAATTTATCAGTTCATCAGAAATATATTGGATTCAATACAAAATATGGATTATATTTACCCCAACTTTTTTATTCATTGTAGACATACACGGACAGTGTTTTGTCACATAAAAAATATATTTGAGGTGAGATGTATTAATTTTAAGGATACTAGCAGTGGAGCACAAACTTTTCTGCTGGATTATTTTTTCTGTGACCAGAAATTGTAAATCATGCTGTGCCACCCTAATAGTAGACTAAAAATTATGACGGACAATGCACCATCTGCTGTGAGAGAATTTGTAAAATACAAGATTCCCCCAATGGCAAAGCAAAAGTTTTTATCAAAAAAATCTACAAAATGGGGATTACAATTACAATCAAAAACATAAGAATAATATCAAGTCTGTTTTTATATCAACATTGATATGCACACTAATAATTCAAGAGTTAATAAAAGGTTAAAGGTTGTTAAAAGGCAGCCAGGAGAAAGAGACTTTGTAACCATCATGAGCCAGCAGTTTATTCTCCCTGAGAAGTTTTAATGGTTTTAACTTTTTTCAGGTCGTGTATAAGTACTAGTTAACTGTTTGCTACTGACTGAACCATGAGTGAACATTTAAAAAACATTTCTTTTTGTCTGTACACAGTTGCAATGAGGTATCAAAGCTTGTTTCTGTTTTCACAGCTTTACACATTCAAAATGTTCACGTTTCAAAAATGGCTCGTAGGAAAAAATATAAATATTTTGACCAAAACGTTTTTCATGATTTCATGATTGTCTCTTCCACCTCTTGTGGTTAAATGGAGGTTTTTTTGATGCTTTATCACCCTCAAGGGGGCTAAAAAGGCATTACACAAGAGTCATTTTCAGAACTTTTAAAAATATAAGTAACCATACATGTTTTATTAAAGATATTCTACTCTATGTTCTGCCATCTGCTTTCCAAATTCAACTTTTTATACGCTTTTCATTCTAGGTAGCCATTGTTTCCAGTTTACCTACAGAGTGAAAACATCTATCAGACAGGTAAATCAGTATGTCCATTCATGTCTTTTGTTTTTATTTTGTCAAAGTGACAATATTGTTGAAGTTAACTGATTAATTGAGATTAAAACAAGTGTAATCTTCAAAAGATTTTTTTTCTTTTACATCATGATGTTGACAGACAGGCAATGTGCTCCAGGGGAAATAACACAAACACCAAAATGTTTTTTGAAAGTTTATTATTTGCATTCTGCATTTTTGTTTTACCTTTAATATGACAACAATATTGATCATCATACACACAAATAAATAACACTATAAGTATAAGAGACACAAAAAAGCAACAGTTGGGAGCTCCTGAAAATGCATTAGTGTGAATTAAATAGTTGAGGATTTAATTTTAACTTCGTCTTTGTATTCTCCCTCGTGTGTCAGTACTGGTACAGTGACATTTTTCACTTACTGGGTTCGTGTACTTGCACACTGGATTTGAAATAAACCATCATGTATTTAGCATCTGTATCCAACTAGGTTTTTGAATTGTTTTCCTTATTATTCCCTTTCCCCTTAAAATTAACGGGACCAACATTATTAGAAAAGCAGCATGAACTTAAATTAAGTCTTTAAATTACCATATTTAATATTGCGGCTGTAAATCGTTTGCAGTCAGTTTGCAATCCACAGACCTGATGATGCCACTTTACTACTACTATTATTATTATTCAGTTTAATTTAGCAGGGACAGTGGACATTAATAAAATACTGATGTAAATGTGCCGCAGTTAGCCAAAAGACATATTTTTCATATACAGTCTCTGGACACTTTTTACATAGTCAACCTAAAAAGTCTAAAAACAGATATAAAATGAATTTATACATTATGAGAGCATGCAACAAAAAAGAGAGAAGAGATTGTACTGAAATACTTCAATAACTAACAAAAATTATGCAACATGCCACCCAAAGCTCATAATACGGACATACCTGCAAATTAAACTTTAAAAGTCAGCCATGTCACCTCACACTCACTTCAACTTCAGTGTGCTTTAACACAGAGTCAAAGCAATGAAAAGTATGTCACTGACCAAATATTTTAACCTGCACTGTACTGCATGTGTGTGACTGTGTGTGTGTGTGTGAGTGCTGCGTGAAGGATTAGCCTCAGTGTGTGTCCACCAGTGATTAGCCTGGTCAGTGGGCCTGTTGTGCATTCACTCAAGCCATTAGCATATTAATGCAGCCTCGCTCTTGATCTCCCTCCCACCCTCCCACTCCCGCTCTATCTCTCCCTCGCCCTTTCTCTTTCTCTATACGTATTTCCCAGACTGAGTTTTTGCTTCCTGCAGCTTCAATCTATAAATATCACCAATTTACGCCACTCATGCTGTGAATCAGCGGACTATTTCACCACACAAATTTCAAGGTGCCTGGTCTTCTTTTCCCTCCAAAAATGTCCTCTTGTCCTCCTCTCCGTCCTCTCCCTCTGTCAGATCTCACCGTCTCACTCCCTCTTTCACCACCTCATTCAAATCCTCTACTTTCTCTCATTTTCCCTTTTCTTTCATAAAGTCTGCCCCCTTGAACTTTGTCAAACACAGGAAAAAACACACAGAGGCAAATTCACAGGGGCAAACACAGAGAGGGTAAGTACACACACACACACACACACACACACACACACACACACACACACCCCTCCCTCTCCTCATTCACTCTCCTTTTCTGTCACTCTCACCCCTTCCACTGCAAATTTAGCAAGACCCTCTCTCAACGCCGGTGCTGAAGTGCGAACCGGACACATTCAACTGTACTTAACATGGTGAGAGCTAT